TGGGAGAAGAACCTGCTAGAGCGTAGGGTTGGTTTTTCGTGATTCGCCTGCACGAGAATCCTGGTCAGCGTGATTAGTCACGCGATGTGTTCCGCAGGCAGATAAAGAGCTAGGCTGATCTACTGCACTGGCATCACAGCCACTCCATTTATGCACAGTATATGCGTATAATGCACAGCAATCGCGTAATTTGCCTCGTTTTCCTTCTTTTTAGAAGGCGGGAAAAGCTTGCTTTACGCTCACTGGCTCGTTTCTCCAAAATGTGTCAAACATTGTCCTGGTTTTGGGGCGCACAATTTTGTGGCAACTAGTAGACGTGGCGGAAGACAATTACAGTACTTTCTTTCTCTTCCTCTCTCTCTCTCTGTTTCATCAAGGCAATTCAGTGAGTAAGTGCAGTACTGTACATATATGATCCCTCTCTCAAGAGTCTTTCCTCTATCCCAAGCGCAGTGTCGTCGACTGACGACGTGATTCATTGCTCTCCCGCTGCACTGGTCAAATGCCACATCTTCGACAAGTACTGTATGGTTCTTCCGCACAAGGCATGCCTTCCCCTCCCCCCTGCATATTATACTGTACAATACTTGAGAGTTGGTAACGGGGTTCAAATGGTTTGCGTGAAACCTCGTCATTCGACTTCTCTCTCTCTCTCTCTCTCTCTCTCTCTCTCTCTCTCCTCGCTCAGTCCATAATGACGCATCAAAATCTATTGAGGAGGCATCTCTCGCCCGAATATCTAGAAGCGTCGTTCGGGTCGATTGAGTTTTCATGGTTGCGAATGGATATTGCATTGAGGGGAGGGGAATGAATGTTCTCGGTACAGTACTAGTGTACAGATACAGATAGCACTGTATCTGTCTTGAAACGGAAGGGACACTTTTTTTTTTATTACATCGAGGTGGTAGTTGTGGTGATGGACTGATGGTGACGGCTTGCCACGAATTACTTTTCCCATGCCCGGAGTTGGGTGACCCACATTATGATCGCAAACCCGTTGTCCCACCACAAGTTGAGTGATAGTGTATGTGAAATCGAGGTTAGATTATTTATTTGGTAATGGCTCGATTTGGGGCGGCTCAGTCGCGCAATCGGTCCAGTAACTGGATCCGGAATTTGGGATGAGTTTCCATCTCTGTTCTTCTTTCATCCATTTTATTGTAGTCTTGTCTCCGTCTGCCTCTCTTCCGTATTCATAATTTGTTAGTGAATGGAGTGGGAGTTGAGCTGGGAAGGCGTCCTTTTACCCAACAGCTTCTTGATTGCTTGAGGGTTAATTATCCCTGCCCACGAATTCCGCTTTGCAAGACAGCGGGGACTGAGATTTAAAAAAAAAAAAAAAAGAAGCCAAAAGAGGCAAAGAAGCCGAGAGGAGGGTCGTGGGATTCAGTCAGATTTGATCCGAACGCAGTCAGCAGTGCGGCAATCACAGAGAGGTCCCCCACTCTTTTCCCTGAAACCTGTCCCGTCCTTGTTCTTATTTTCTCCAATTATTCATTCATGTTCCCTTGGGAACGTGGACTTGCAGACATGATGAACAAGCCAGAGGTGATTTTCTTGCCAACAGAATCCCTTCTGTCGCCTGCTGCTGCTGCTGCTGCTGGGATTGTGTTGTGTGGATTGGTTCTGTGGTTGGGTCCAGAGCTCAGTCTCCCGTGCAATTTAATGTCGTGATATGCACATTTCACACTGCCCTACCCTATTGTGCAATATAAGTAGTCCAGTGGTACTGTACTTTAGTTTTGTATAAGTGCAGTATTGGTAGTACCGAATTGGACAGGTACAGTGCTGTGTATGGCGTGTGTTTTTGCTTTTGTGAGTCAAGGCCGGGGCTCAGTCTCCAACAGAGCTGATCTTGATTTCTTTCCAATCTCCCAAGGTCTTGCGATTGCGGATCAATTACGCGCGTCCAACTTTTTTTTTTTTTTTGCGTTTCTGGGATCAGTCAGTCTAGTAACGGCCAACGCGTCGACCGTACTAGCCCATGCCAAAGAAAAAAGCAAGCTGGCTTTTCCTCCTCTGGCTATTGGTCTTGATGAATCAGGGTGGAATTGGAAATGCGGGATCTGATGCAGTGGATGAATACTCGTTTTAATTGGATGAAAGAATTGAGCTATACCTGCTATACGTGTGAGTTTGATTGATTCCTGCCGCTTTTGCTGCGACCTGGATTCGTCTACTCGAGTCGGACTTTGACTGTGAATCAATTACATCACAATACCGTAGACTAGAGTAGAGTAGAGTAGATACTGTAGTACGGTCGAGTATTGTATCGCAGTGCCTAGCTCCACGCCTTGCCTTCGCCTCGTCTCGGGCATTTTGGTATACAGTATGCGGGGCTTCCTGATCAAAATGTGTCATCTGTCATACAGAGGGGGGAGTTTCTTTGTCTGGCCTCCTTGTCCCTGATACCGGATGTGCGACAGACATCTCGTTCCTCCCAACTTTCTCCCAGTTATAGTATTCTTCTCATTTCTATTTAATCAATTTATTTATTTCTTGCTTTTTTTGTTGTTGTGGAAATTCTCTTGATGGATGTGTTTGATTTGCATTATTCGAGTGAGCAACTCACTTCCACCACCCCGGGCCCCCTGGCTCATGATGGCGAATGCAGCGGAATGTAACTTACAGGCGGGTCTACAGTGTATACAGTACGTACAGTACTTGTCCTACTGAGTGAATTGCATAGCATTTGCGAGAGAACTGAGGGGGGGGGTGGGGGAAGAGGTTGGTGAAGAACATACAGTACAGTACTGTATTCTACTGATGAAAAACAGAGTGTGCTATCCAAGATTACTACAATAATACGACGTGCCCGTTGTTGTAGTGAGCCGTACTGTACTACGGTACAGTATTCAATTCCTCCTGCTAGTGGAGACTGATGGAAAGGAGACAGGACAGGAGTGAGTGAGTGAGCCTCCTGTTCTGTCTTTCTCTCCCATGCCTCCATTATTCCTCCCTGCCGTTAAGATTCCGGCGCGAGATTTTGATTCGGCCACAGTCCGACACTGGAGTCCATCCAGCTCTGCGATGGAGCCAAGTGTGCGGTTGGCACTTTGGTGTACACAAGTAACGGAACATTCAATACTGTATGCAGTTGTTGATTACATTCATCCAGGCCCTGTTTCACCCTCATCAACACCTTGAGTGTTGTAGTTTCTCGCAGTGGTTTTCTGTTTATTGTGTCAAGCTCCAACAGGAACATCCATCTACCAGTTTTTGTTTGTTTGTTTTGCTTTTTTTTTGTTCTTCTTATAGATATCTTAATGTTGTCGAAAATGAATGAAGTGGATCGAGTATCGCTTTATTTCCTTGACAACAGTTGAGGGTATTGGGTTCATGAATTGATTGGAGACTCCGTAAGAAAAGCCAAAAATAGACTATTCTGGATGACAGACAACAGTTTTTGTTTGTGAGTAACATTTTTTTGTTTGTTTATCCGAGCAATGATTTACCTGCATTGAACTTGTGTACAGTAATCGATTAAAGCAGTGTTCCCCAACTTTTTTGGGTCTGCGGACCAGCAAATTCCCAAAAATAAATTCAGCGGACTGGCAAAGTTTCACAAAACTTGAAAACATTTTGCTTGAAAGAGTTTATGGTAGGTATAGAAAAAGTTCAGCTTCTTGCAAAAATTAAGTTGAGCAGCTATAGCTTGATGTAATCAAAAATTTGGAATTGTGGGCTTGAAAAAAGGTTTCTGAGAATGAAAAATGAAAGTGAGTTATTTTAGCTGGTAAAAATGTGTTTCAAGTGTTACTAGGACCAGCGTTCCCAAACCCATGTTCCACGGACTGGCTCCAGTCAGCAGAAGTTTTTTGCGAGTCCGTTGGAAATTTTCAGTATAATACATTTTTCAAAGTAGCAATAAAATCTGTTTTCATTTCCTAAAACTTCGGAAAGACAATGGCAGTTGAAATCATTTGATGAAAAATAAAAGTTGGCTTTTCTCCGAATCAAACCTCCAACAGTTTTCCAAAAAATTGTCTGCGGGCAAGCAAAGTTTCATGAAATTTTCTTAGGACCAGCAAATTTTCATAAACTTTTTGCATGCTCAAAAAAGTGTTGCCTGAAAAATAGCTTGAATACCAGCTGTTTTAAAAGTTTCTGCTTTTTTTTTAATCAATTCAGGGTCCAGTGAAGCAGCTATAGTGGAATGTCTTCACAAATGAAGTAGGTGAGGTTGAAGAAAGATTTTTCAGGCTAAAAAAAAAATTGTTGAAGCAGGTAACAATTTGTCTGAAGTATTAGTACGAGAACAGCCAAGATATATTTTCATGAGATAATTTTAACTGCTTTTGTCTTGCCAAAATGAAAAACTAAGATACTGTAATGTCCTTCATTGCTACTTTTGAAAAATCCATCAGCCTGGAAAAAGTTCCTGCGGACCGGCAAAAGGCTTCTGCGGACCAGCGCCGGTCCGCGGATCACGGGTTTGAAGGACTTTTTTTTTTTTTTGCAAGAAAAATTCGTGAAATGTCTGGAACAAAATGCAGATTACACACTGATGCTCAACTGCAACTACTGTGGAGAAACGCGTCACAGTTGCTCGGTATTCCTTGAGAATTAAATTAAGGTACAGTACTGTACTGTATTTGAGTCCGGATGCATTGTTGAATGCAATCGTCTTCCGCAGTGGAAGATGCTAAATTTGGATGCCTGACGCGTGAATTGGTAACGAGATTCTGAAGCGCATTGTTTGACCTCACGTTGCTAAACTGAACGGCCTACTTTCTCCACTTGTTCATGACAATTTTTTTTCTCTTAAGACTCAACCAGAACTTAGCCGAGTTTTCGGAAAATCGAATCTATCTGTCTGTAAAGTAAACCCCTTCTCTCGAACTGAAATGAACGCGTACGGTACTTTGGCTCCGTCTCACGTCACCTGTCAACGAGGTGAAGAAAGTGAATGTCAATTTAATTGGCTGTTTACTACAGTATGTTACAGTAGTGGAAATCCCCGGTCAGCGTGTCTCTTGTGTCTGTCGGTCTGGAAATCTGCAGATTCTCCTTCGTGCGTTGAAACCTGTGCGCGCTCGCGCAAGGTCGTGCATTTCTACACGCAGTGCACTGTACAGGACTTTGTTGTGTTGGCACGACTAATCCGTGAATAACTGTACTGTACTTGGTGGTGATCAAGACTGATCCATTCTGTGTCGAGAAGTGCCTCTTTCGCGGTCCATCTGTCTCTCTGACAACCAGGAAGGAAGGAAGGGAGGGGAGGGAAGAAAAGAAAAGAAAAGAAAAGAGGAAAATTGGTGCCCGAGCCTGACTTGGGGATATGGACCCGTACCCGTACGAGTACCCGGTGGCATACGCCGCCGTGCCAACTTACGCGGGCTATCATTATTACGTCGTGGAAACCGTGGCCGTGCCGCCGATGAAGAAGCCGCCGCGGAACTTCAGTGCCTACGATTTCTTCTTTGGTTGCTTCCGAGGAAGCACCGGAAACCCATTTGAAGGTGACTTTTCGTCAACCACTCTATTCACTCACTATGTACTGTACATATCACATTGTATGTACAATAAGTAATTTTCCAAGTCTAAGCATTTTAGTAGTCGGAGTGAATTCCATGTCATTCATGCTCCTCAATCCTGGATTAGGTAACAGCTTCTTCGTGATGTAGTAGGCGCCGATTGGGGTCAACACGGAAAAGAATATTCTGATGGCATTTTTTTTTTATAATTTTTATAATTTTTCATTTGTTTGCTAGGGACGGATTGAGTTCAGTTCAGTGGAGACTTTTTTCTCCCATCGTTTTCTTGAGACAATAAAAATAAGTGTGCGTGAAATCATATTTTGCGCGTGCTTTGTAACAGGACAGGCTGGCAGGCAGTCCCGCAAGGTTCATTATTATTTTATTTTTCTCACGGGTTCACGCCACTACTTCTGAGCACACGCACTATCCATCTTCAACCCATTACGTACCAAGGTGTCTCTTCAAAGTATTTTTTTCTGGGCAGGAATAGATAATTTCCCTGTCGCTGCAAAAATATCACACACCAATCGATCACCAATTTTTCAGAATACAGTACAGTACTTTATTGTGATAAGTTACTTCTGGGACTAATGTTGATTGTTTTTTTTTATTTCGCGCTGTGATTGGTGCATCACTGTACAGCATATAAAAATAGGACAATGAGGAAATCCAGAGCATAAGTTGTCCCTCTGTGTACCTATCGTTGGATGACGGGTACTGTACTTAGCATTCTGAGTTGATTGACTGTTGTCCTCTGATGGACTGGAGAATAATTTTCCTCCTTTCACCCGTAACAGAGGAGCAACTGTACGTTTTCGGAACTAAAGTCCCCTAAAGACTTCGGTTGAAATTCGAAGTGAATAAAACATAGTTCACGGTTACTCTATTGCCGCTGATGACGCATTGTGTTCGTAAGTCTGTGGAATTCAATTTTTTTGTTTTCACCCGCATGTGTGTTTACGTTTTTTTTTTTTTTGTGGCTCGATCACAAATCCTTTTTGCAGGCATTTCACCGAAAATGCCCCCCCCCCCCTCCAATTCCTCAAAACTGAAGTAGGCCTTTCTAATTTTAGCAGTTCAATATAGTATAGTTTAGTGAAGTCCTGTTCCAGCCATAGTGTGGGAGTATCGTTTCGCGGTACATGTGTCGCCATCTCTCACATTACAAGTCGAGGGTTATCATTCCATCCTATCTTCAATTTCATTCAAGATTACGTTTGTGGACGTGAGAGGAGTCTGCGATGCAACATTTTGGGCATGTCGTTCGGAAGCGCGCCTTCTCAAACTATAATCTTACTATTTGTCTCATTCTGTGAGATTCTCTTGTTTGATTTCGATCTGGTGGTAGGCTACGAGGCTGGAGTGAGCCTCAATTGTTTATTCCTTTACGGCGCCATGAGATCCAGTTGAAGCGCTCATGTGCAAATGCTGTACAAGACTCTACTTGACTCGTATTTATAATGGTAACTAATGATCGAGTACTGTACTACTGTACTCCATTTTCGCGCTTGTCCGATGGGGGGGGGGGGGGATCATATTTGCAGCCATGAAATGAACGCGCCAAGTTACGCATGAAATCTGCACAAGGTGACTGGGTCCACACTGGTAGACTCTTATGCGAGCACGGTGCTGTATTAGCAGATCCGAGACATGAAGACTGGGATTGGGAGAAACGAGAAGCAGGCTCAAGGACGAAATTTGGCGGGTGCTGAGCTTGGAAGCTGGCTGGCTGCCTGCACATGTGTTGATTACAGTACTGCACTGTCTGTATTTTTCAACCGCCATCTCGTCTCTCGCCACTCGACCAGTGGACGGGACTCATTTGCATCAGACACGTGTACTATCTTTGCGTTTCTTGAAGGCCACATTTGAACTGCTGGGTGAGAGGAGTAGGAGGAGGAAGAAGAAGAGAAATTCGAGTTGGCAGTAAAGCTTTCTTGCTCGTGAAATTGCGTTGCAAGAAGAAATTTGCATGTGGTTGCATGGGTTGTTTGTTTGCGAAGGAAGGAAGGTGGTTTGCTGCTTGGCTCAATAGAAGGCGTTGTTTTCTTATCGTATTGTACAAGGCAAGTCAAGGCGGTGGTGATGATGATGATTGGACCCATTCCATTTTCAAGTACAGTAATTTACGTGTGTTTTTGAAACATGAAGCTGGCGAGGAATTGCCTTCCCACCAACTTGCATTTCTTCGTTATTTCTCTCCTCTCAACTTGTAACGTACTACAGTATACTGTACCGTATCTCAGATTCCTCTCAATTGAGACACAGATGATTGAGAAAGAAGGAGAGGAAGGAAGAAAGGAAACATGGAATTACGTTCGGTATATGTACTTGGTCTACTCCCTCCCGCCCTCTAGTAGTCTTCCCGTTTCTTGGTGAATAACGGAGAAAACGGACGAACGCCTTTGACGAATCTCCACTTGGACAGCTACAGAAAGATTAATTTCATTGCGGAAGCGACAGTTGGATTCGGATTCTTTCCGACACCCGATTATTTCTGCATGTTTACGCCAACAAGATTTATGATGACGATCGTTTTGGTTTTCCTCTCTCTCTCTCTCTCCGATTTACTCCAGCAGTTCGTATTGCATTCATTTATTCAGTTAGTTTCGACACTGGTTTCTCTTTTTCCGCTTCTGGTTCTAGTTCTTGTTTTATCGCCCATTGCGATACATTTTCTGGAGCGACTTCGGGAACTTTGACAAATGAAATGTAACTCTTGATATCTGATGGGCTTAGTTTAGGTAATACAGTATTGCTCAACTTGTGGCAGAGTACAGTACTTGTTGCCCCCATCAAATGGCACTGGTTCCGTGTCTCACATTTCAGGGCCCGTTCTGGGTTAACCGTGCAGTATTTCAATTTCCTCCCTCAATAACTAGGCAATAACCCTAGTTGGATGGCGCATCAAATGTGGACCCCGTTAGAAAGAGAAAGAGGGAGAGGGAGAGAGAGCCCGGGCTTTTGGGATTGCAATACAATATTATTGTATTCTACGCTGTACACGGGTCGTTGGCAATGGGAACCCGGCGTGTCGGGAACCGCGTGAATACCCACAAGGCGCTTCGTTCCGCCCAGCTTTGCGTGTCTTCCTCCCCCTCCTCTTATTTGGTGCAGCGTTGTGAGCAACGGTGTCAAGGCGTGAATGAAAAAGACCATCTACCAACCACGAAGCAAAAATGGAACGAATGAATAAATGAATGAAATGGGGGGGACTCGTGTAGACGAAAAGAAAAAAGGCGACACGGGGAAGGACGGAAGGAAGTGGATGAACCTTCGTTTTTGAGTCTAGCTGTGCTCTCTCTCTTGTTATACTGCGCCGACGTCAAGGTTCGTTGGGTTTCATCGTGCATGCCATCATATCACCTTCCGGCCATTACCCCCGTATTCCGGGTATTATGTATCTGAGCTTGTGCCAGAGCCAGGGAATGCTGATCAAGTACCGTATTCCCGCGGGGTTCAGAGACGCCATCATCAATCCGTTAAACGCAACGTTACCTGCACTATTTGACTTGATCCTCGAATGGAAAACAAGCTTGTTTTTTTTTTTTTACCCACTCTGCTTATACTGGGCATTGATTCATACAGTAGTATGTCAGGAGTTGTCTGGGTACATCGAGTTTCAAATAATGTACAATACCGTATATACGCTGTCAGACTTGAATCAAAGTCCCTTGATTTACCGTGTCACTGAGAATAGTGTATTGAAAATTGGTATTGTACAAATGCAAGAGATTAAACTCGGAATTAAAAGTTGAACGATTTTTATTCAATTTTTTTATCGTGCGTTGCTTTGAAATTTGGCTAGTCAGTTCTGACTCTGAATACTGTACTGTACCTGCATTTATTCCGAATTAGGCCATGCTGTACTGTACATTCATTTCGGAGATACTGTACTGTAATGAGCCGATTTCTCCCCGTTTTTTCTTTATTTCATGAAAATGTGACTCGATGAGAAGTGAAATTCCTTGCCGGAATATGAGAGGAAGTACTGTAAATGTCAAATGAGCTCCAATATCAGTAGAGACGCAATCCCTTTCATTTCTGATTCTGCCATATTGAATGGTAATGCAATTTCATCCAAATTTTAAATGTAAAACTCGACAATTTTCGTGTTGGAATAAATGTAGGAATAATTTACTGTACTACCTAACCCATTTTATTCGAAATGAAAAAAAAAAAAAAAACGAGAAGCTCGTATCGAGGACCACGAGAAGCACATATAGTGGAACGCTGCTCTCGACCAATACGCTACAGTTGAGCATGGAGCGATTTTTCAAATACAATATTGTACAATACAGTACAGTATTTCAATTCAGATGATGTGTTCTTCCTACGGAGCCGATGCTTCTTTTTAAAAGTTGAGTGTCTGTCAAACTGCGGTAGCCTTTATGGTGACAGATGTAATGGAATCAACAATGTCGTCCTCCTCGTTTCCCCATTTTCTTTCGCCCTTTTCCGTATACTGTACTAGTTTTTTGGATTGGAAGGTTAATTAATTGATTGATGGGTGAATTCATTCATTCTCTTGGCGGTGGTGCTTGCTCAACGACTCGGTGAATCTGTCGGTTGGTAAACAGTTTACGGATGATCGTGCGGTGCGTGTCAATCAATCATCAGCATGCCCGAGGGGATAAGAGATGGGCCCGCTCAACTATCGACATCCCGGATGATGAGAGGAGAAATTCATCTTCGGGTTCGGCCTAAATTTGCCATTTACAGCCATGGTACTGTACTGTTCTGTTTTTTTGTTGTTGTTGGAAAATGAACTGTTTTGAAGTTGTTCAAGTCCGAGCGGGCAATTTGAAATGACTTTCTGTGCATTGAGAGAAAATCAGTACTGTATAACATGGTGATCCTGTCCTCGACGGTCGCTTAATCCGACGACCTTCAGTCGTTCACGCCACAACCAATGCAGTACAGTGCTGTATTGAAGTAGTGTATGGCGTTATGTGAATGTTTCACGTCCTATTTCATCATCC